ACCCGCAGGGGCCCCCTCAGGGGCCCCCTCAGGGGGGCCCCTCAGGAGCTAGATGCCCACGAGCGCTGGAGGTACACCTTCTACTGCGTCGATCTCCTGGGGTACGGGAAGAGTGCCGCCATTCCTTCGACTAAAAACTACTCAAGGAGGGAACAGGCAAGCGGCCCGCCTTTGTGTGTTCTTTGTTATTACTATCAGGAATACCGAATAGTACTGAATAATAACGGCACCACNGCCCGCCTTTGTGTGTTCTTTGTTATTACTATCAGGAATACCGAATAGTACTGAATAATAACGGCACCACTTATTACCACTTATTATTTATCACTACTTAGTAATATTAATAATAATGTTGGCAAATAATTACAAGTCATGGCAGATAATGACACCAAATAATCGTCCGGGGCAATAGTAAATAAAATACTACTGCATATGCGAACAGTATGAACAATACGCGCTGTAAAGACCCTCCACTGGCAAGCATGCCCCAGGATCCCAAGAAAGGCTAGAGACACGCAAAGTGGATGTAGCTAGCCTGTTAGGGGCTTGCCAACCTAGCTAGCTAGGTGGCTGCATTGATGAGAGCTAGTAAAGCTAATTAGCTAGCCGTTTTGCTGGCAGCGGAGCAAGCTAGCCAGCAAGCTAGCTGCCATGCTGGGAGCTTGCCAAGCTCGCTGGCTGTGTTGCAGCTTTGCTTTGCAGGCAGAGGCGATCTTGCGGGACCTCATCCTTGAGAACAAATTCACTTCTGTACACTTGGTAAGGCGAGAAGCAACCAAAACGGCAGATAACGCAGGGGACCTAGAGTCAGGAATATTGATGTGAGGGGCCTCTGGGCAGTAAGAAGGATAGACGGGCCCTGAAGGCAGCAAGATAAAGGACAGTAAAACAGTACTGCAGCATTGCAATATTGCAGCAGTGCTCGAGACAACACTGCAAGGGATAGTACTGCACTACTACAGTAGTTCAATATTCCGGCATTGCAGTGCTGCTGTATTGCAGTGTTCAAACATTGTAATACTGCAAGGAGACAGTATTTTAGGAGGCAATCTTGCACCATACGGTGTTCTAGGGGACAGCTTTGAAGTTTGGCAGCTTTGAAGGGGGCAGTACGTCAGTATTGGAGCACTGTAGGAGACAGTTTCTGTGTTGCTGTTGCAGGTTGGCCATTCTTTTGGGGGGTTGGTTGCTGCAGAGTTATGTGAAATTTTACCTGTTGGCTTTGTGACGACTTTGGTGCTGCTGGCACCGGCGTATTTTGAATCCGAGCGTCAGGCTATGCGGATCCTCACCGCTTCTCACTTTCCTGCTGCTCATGTCAGCTTCTGCTATCTGCTGCTGCTTGCTGCTGCCGTTATCTGTTCCTGCCATATGCAGCTGTTGATGAAAGCGATGGAGACGCTGTGCCTGCCTCCTGTTAACACGCAACTGGTGGGGGGTGGTGTTGTTGGTATCGATTGTGCTGTTGATGAGGAGAGGAGACACAAACAGTAACAGCACCAGCACGAGCAGCAGCTGCAACACGATCAGAAGGAATCAACACCTGGGTACAAACCTCGCAGTTAAACAAAAGCTAAATACAGTTAAATGCACTCAAATACACTCACGTACACTGCAATACCCTGGAATGCAGTTAGATACGTTCAGAGAAGCTCAAATATAGTTGAATGCAACTAAATACAGTGAAATGCAGTCACATGCACTAACGCGCAGTTACACGGAGTCACGTACAGTCAAATGCAATCAAATATACCCAAATAGAGCTACCTACGCAGCCAAATGCATTTCAATACGCTTACCTATTGCTGAATACGCCTAAATAGAAACTAAGATACAGTTGGATAGATTGTCAACTGGAGTGGAATACGGTGGAATATGGTTAGTTGCCCCCGGACACAGCCTACACTTGATTGTATTTGATTCTGTTTGAATATATTTTACTCTTTGCTTGACAAAGATACTCAAATACAGCTATGCAGCTGAATATACTGTCAATATGCAGTAGACAGCACTGAGTAAACAGCTAAGTAGTAAAATACACTCAAGTGCGGCCAATTACACTCAAATACAGTTAGGCGGGATTATATATATAATTCAACACATTCAAATACAATCAAAAGTGGCTAAACAGACCCAAACATACAGGCACCGGGGATCGAACCCGGGATCTCTCGCGTGTGAGGCGAGCGTCATAGCCACTAGACCATGCCTGCTCGTGTGACTCCTCATTTTTTGGGCTATGCTTCAAATAGCGGGAGGTGCTGTTTGTTAGCAACAGAGCAGTACAAAACAAGTAGTCTTTGTTGTCAACAGCAACATGAATTGTTGTTTGCACAACGAGAAGAGTTGCTTGCTCTCTGCGATGCTTACGGAGTCTGGCAAACAACCAACTAGTGATTGATTTCAAGGTGTTGCGTTCATTTTAATCGGAAAGCTACAGGGAATGGTACGGCAGCTGGTGGCGCTGCAACTGCTGCTACATGTGGTGCAACTGCTAGCGTCGGCGCTGTTGGTGCTTCTTCTGGTGCTGCAGCAGCTGTTACTGCAGCTGCTCTCCTCATGTTGTGTAGTGTTGGCTGCTGCAATTGTGTGTGTGCGCACCTATCTGATACTGCAGACAGTGGCGCATCCTTACTTTGGGGAGTTGCTGCTCCGTCTGGGTGTTGTGCTGCGGCCGATATTTGAGCCGCTAGTGCTGCGTCTGGTACCCCCAGGGGAGTTGCCTCAGCTGTCTGTTGCTGATATCTTCAGTATACACCCCGATGCACTCACCGGCACCATCCGTTCCATCGGTAAGATCCCACCTCCACTGAGCTGCGTTCAGCAACTCCTAAATGTGTACACGTAAAGAAGCAGCTCAGACAGATAGAGTGGATGTTGGCACAGATAAGCATCAGCAGCAGCAGCAGCAGTACACGAAGCAGTATATGCAACAGAAGCAACAGCAGGAGACGCTGCAGCAGTTGTTGGATAATGCTTGAGTTGACAGACCCATTTGGCTGCACGTTTAGCTGAGTACAGACACAACAACTGACATATAAATTCATAACATACGCACAGACATAATCACCAGACAAAATACACCAAGAGGCACAAGATGACCGCCACTGCCTGAGCTGATTGATGGCCTTGCGTTCCTTTTATTAGTGTCTATCTATAACAACAACAACCCCACCCCGTTGTCTCTGCTGCAGTACAAGACCGAATCGATATGACCCTGCAGCTGCTGAGACAGAGGGGACAGCGTGCCAGTCTCTTCCACGGCACAGCAGACGGCGTCATCCCCATAAGACAAGCCAGGTCCAGTTCACCTCGCAGTAGAATGCAGTGTTTGTTTCACTCAAAATAACAATAAAATGATAACTACAGTCGTAATAACAGAACTGATGGTAGTAATAATAATATTATCATTGCTATTATGTAATGATCATAATGGTAATACTCTTATAGTTCTGCAATACAGTGATAAAAATAATCTTCAGAATAATACTATTGGTTTGTAATTATAGTCACACATAATACCAACACTACGCCAGTCGACGTCTTAAAAGCAGAAAGAGCATAGCAGAAGTGTGAGTTGTTGTGTGCTGTATCGTTAGTTAGCGCCTAGTGCATAGGGTGTGGGGCTTGCAGGTAGGGGAGAGAAAGCCAGAGAGTATCCGTTCCCCTCTGTCTCTCTGTTACATGCTGGCAGGGGGCATGTACAGTTGCTGCTGCTGCTTCTTTGCTGCTGTGTATGTACAGGTTTTTGGCTTTGAGATACCCCAACATACACCTGAGAGCCCTCGCAGGATTTGTCCATCATTTCCCCGCCTCCCACGCGCAGTTCACTGCGCATATCATCCTGCAGGTCCTCTGAATCCCGTTTTGTCTTTGCATGCAGTAGCAACAGCAGCAGCAGTAGCAACAGCAGCAGCAGTAGCAACAGTAGCAGCACCATAAGTGATACAATTGAAGGCAGGCAGCGCTAAAGAAAAAGATAAAAATAGTGAACAGAGAGATCAGAGAGACGAGCAGATCCAAAAGACAAACAGCAGAGACAGACGCCAGGATAGAGACGAATGTTGCAGAGACAATCGCATGCACAGACAGTGCACACAACAAGAAAAACAATACATACAAAAAGAGATAACAGACGCAATGCAGTAAACCCCAGCCCACAACACGCGCACACAGAAACAACCGCAGAGACGTAGCGGCGGAGAGACAGCTCAAGTGTGCCTTCTGGCTGTATTAGGCAGAGAGTCAATCAGATGGTGTAGTACAAAGAAGTCCTCGTGAGAAGGTGTAATAAGACGAAAAGTGAAACTAGGTGGCGTAGTCAGACAGAGTTCTAATAAAATACTACAATATAATAAGAGAGCTTAATAAAGTGATGCAGAGAGAGCCTAGCACGGTGATATGAACAGACACAGTGTAAAAAGGCGGTGTAGAGAGTTTAAGAAGGTGATGCCATGAGGCGTGGAGCGTAATAGAGTTGTATAATCAATAAGACTGGCACGAACGACAGCAACCAGTAGTAAAGAGGTAACACCTTCAGTCAAGAGTAAAATCAAATAAAGCTAAAACAAATTCGTGTTCGGCCTTTGCCTGTATGCGCAGGAGATCGGGCGATCCCTGCGGAACGGCAGAGGCCTCTGCTACAGCCACGATGAGGACCCCAGCAACACGCTGATACTCGCACATAATCTGCTGCTTCCAGGCCACCCTACGTGGTAATAGCAAGAGCTGCTGCTGCCGTAACTGCAACTGCTGCAGCTGCTGTTGCTGCAGCTGCGGCAGCTGCATGTCTATATGAATATGCGTATCAATATATCTACTATTGATACATCTACATACATATTGACATAAAACATATGCGTATACGTGCGCATCGATATGTTTATATATCGATGTATATATATCTATATATATACACGCAGCTGCCGCAACTGCCGCAGCTGCAGCAGCTGCAGCAGCTGCAGCAGCTGCAGCTGGAGCAGATGCGCAGCAGAGCAGCTCGGGGTGAGTAGCTGTTCTCCTGTTTTATTTTTGTGCGGATACAGTATCACGAAGCGTTGTCTTCTGTCTGTTTTTCTAGTTTCCAGTGTATGTCTTCTTTCGTTATAACCCGGTGCAGTTTGATGGGCCTCCACTTCGCTGCGCCTCGAATGGCCAAGTCAATTGCAATGGTGTTGGGGACAAACTTCACCAGCTTGTAGTCCGCGCTATGACGACCCTCTGCAGCAGCAGTAGCACCAGCAGCAGCAGCAAGTGAACAGCGGCAGTAGCAGCAGGAGTAGCGGCAAGCAGAGAAGCGGGTGAAGAAGACGCTACAAAGAGAGCAGCTCAGCATATGCACTGGAAAATGCACGGAGGTGCACAGACAGATACACCCACACACATATACAATCTGTCCCCGAGTGTATCTACACACAAGTTCTCTCACTACAGTGTAGATATAGGGTTACACTTCATCCTTCACACACAAGGGTCTCCTTACGGCGGATGCACACACAGGGTGTTCTCTTACCTGGTAGTGCTGCGGCCCAGCAACTCCTCCAGTAGTGGGCCTTGTAAGGGGCCGCCTCAACTACAGCTGCGACGCCCGTTAGCAGCAAACTGTCTCCCCTGCGGAGAAACAGGAAACACGCAAGATATCTCTGCCGCGTCAAAATCCGTTGCTGCTGCTCTAGTTGCTATCGGTGCATATGGCGCTGTTCCTGCTGCGGTCGCTGTTTCTGCTGTGGTTGCTGCTATTGTTGCTGCTGCTGCAGCAGCAGAACACCTCTGCATGACCTCACGTTGTGGCGTCGACATAAAGCAGTGCCAGGGGCTGTCCCTGCTGCAGCTGTGCGTACACCTGGGAGTTGCTGCTGAGGGCAAAGTGAATGAAATTGAAGGGAAGACTGAAGGAGCTGCGTTCCCCTAAGCAGACACAAACAAACAAACGCAGAAACTCAAGTGAAGGGAGATTCGGTCAAGGCGTTGAGAGAAAGACGGCAGAGATACTGTACAGGCATGAAGCCAAATTCGGTACCACTGACGCGGAGACCCACAGCGGTTCCCCAAGAAACACACACACAGCCCCAGCCAGAAAGAGGCAGAGAGACAGACAAAGGGACACACACAGATACAGACAGAAAAAAAGGCATAGTCAACGATTCAGATAAACAGAGAGGTAGAGATATTGACAGACAAAACACCCGCGCCTACACCCACAAACACGACGAACAAGGAGCAAATACACACAAGCAAAGAGAAAGGACAAGGAGACGAAAGCACAGATAAAAAGGGGAAAGACAGAGAAGCGAAGACGGAGATGGCAGCAAGGAAAGCACGGAAGACTCAAAACAAAGATGGAAACAAAACAAAAACTACAAGCAGAGAATAAAACAAAGACAAACGCACCCAAAAAACCAAGACAACGATCACAAACTGAACGACGATGCCGCCAGGGAAACAAAGAACACGGAGAATCAGAAAAAAAAAAGAGAGAACGTGAAGAAGAGCAAAAGGAGCAAAGAGACAAAAAGGAGGTAACACAGAAAATAAGACAGGGACGACGAGAAGAAAAGGAACAGAGAAGAGAGAAAGAAATAAATAAAAAGAAGAAAAGGCATTCACCTGCTAGGAGGTACGTCAAGGCGTTGTTCTCAATGCCTTTAATCACTTCCTTAGACGGAAGACGCAGCACGCGGCTCTCAGGCAAATGAGGCTCCACACATACTGCAACAGCAAAGCAGCAGCAGCAGCAGCAGCAGCAGCAGCAACTGCAGCAGTGCAAGTAACAGTAGCACCAGGCGCAGGAAGCCGCCCGCGCACACAACAGTGGCAGCCTGAATACTACCTATGGTACTATACAGCAGAAGCAACTGCTGTAGCAACAACTCTGCGCCAGCAGCAGTAGCAAGTGCAGCAGCAGCAGCACGAGCAGCAGCAGCAGCACGAGCAGCAACAGCTCACTGGAGGCGATGCGACAGTCCTGCGATCCTCCTGCTATGCAGATACAGGACAGAGAATTCGCCACAATCTGCAGCAAACAGCAGCAGCAGATCACCCCGTGTCTTTCAGCTGCAGCAGCAAATCCTGCTGCTCCATACACAACACCTCCCCGTCCTCTATTGCGGCGGCAGCAGCAGGAGCAGGCGCAACGGCAACAGTAGGTGTAGAAGCACCAGCAAATGCAGCAGAAGCAGCAGCAGTGCAGCAACAGCAGCAAATGCTGCAGCAGCTGCAGGTGCTGCTGCAGCAGCTGCAGCACCGAGATCCTGGCCTCACCTGCTGCGCCCTTTTGAGAGCTGCTTCCCCTTCTTCAGCTGCTGCCGTTGCGTCCTCCTGCTGCTCCTGCCGCTGCTGCAGCAGCGACTTAAATATCAATGCAGCAGCAATAACAGGAGAAACTGACACCGCCCCAAACAGGAGCACCTTCATCCACGTGCGCCAACGACGGGGACGCGCAGGTCGTGGGGGCTGCAGCAGCAGCAGCAACAGAAGCAAACACAGTGCAGCAGCAACGCCGCCTGACACCCCCTAACACTAGCTGCTGCTGCAGCCACGAGAACACGAGCAACGCAGATGCCAGCAGCAGCAAAGGAGGCTGTAGGGGGTGCAGCAAAGACAGCAGCAGCAGCGGCAAAACCAGCAGCACCGCATGCACCGACGGCAGCAGTAACGGCAGCAGCTGCAAGAGTGAAGGCAGCAGCAGCAAAAGTGAGGGCAGTAGTAACAAGAGGCAGCAGCAGCAGCAGCAGCAAGGCAGCAGCAACCGCAGAGTCGAACGAGACAAGGATCTCACTGGCGGCGCTGCAGTGAAGCCTGACCGCAGGTGCAGTGGGGCCTCCGTTTCTTCAGGAATAACATGAACGCCTGTAGCAGCAAAGGGAGCGGGGTGGTGGCACTCAGCAGCAGCAGCAGCAGGAGCTGCAGCAGCTGCTGGTTGCTCCCGCTTGGGTGCCTGATCGGGTGCGTCGCGCTGCCGCCGTCCAGCAGAGAGATGCAGCAGCCGGTGTTGTTGTCGAAACAGAGAAGAGGAGGAAACGTCAGCAGCAGACACTGCTGCTGCTGTTGCTGCCGCTGCCGCTGCTGCGGGTTCTGCACTGAGCAGCAGCAGCAGCTGCTGCTGTTGCAGTCTGTGCCGCAGGTGGCCACCGATGCGGGGTAACGATGCAGCAAGAATCAGGCCATTTGTCCCGCTACTGCTGCAGCAGCTGGCTGCTGGTGCAGCAGCAACGGCAGCACCTGCGGCTGCAGCAGCAATGCACTGCCGTGGAGGAGCAGCAGCAGGGCGCAAGGCAACGAGCCCCCTAAACTGGAGAAGACGCGCAGAAGCTGCTGCGGCCATCGCGTCTTCTTCTGCGGTGCTGCTGCTGCAGCAGCTGCTGCGCTTGACGCCGTGCCCTCAGCTGCGTCTGCTGCAGCAGCAGCAGCTGCTGCTGCTGCTATTAAGGCCCCACTGCCCCCTGGTGTGGGGAGAGAGCGGGAACGTGTGCACGCTCCCTGGCTGTGCTGCTCCGTTGGTGTTGCGGCAGGAGCTCCCGCAATCCTTGCTGTTGCTACTGCTTCTGCTGCTTCTGCTGCTCCTGCTGCTGCTCCTCCTGCTGCTCCTCCTGGCACCCGTCGAGTCTGTGTTCTTCAGGAGAATACGGCAGCCTCCATCTTTTATGCTGCAGCCCAGCGGTGTAACAGCAGCAGCTGCTGCTGCTCTTACAATTCCTGCTATTGTGGTTGCTGCTGCTGCTGGGGGCTTGCTGCTGATACTCTCGAGGCTGTGAGCAGCAACGGGAACCGAACCCCAGCAGGAGCAGGAGCAGCAGCAGCAGCAGCAGCCAGAGACGAAGCAAAAGGCTTGAGAAAGAGGGGGCGAATATAAAAACAAATAACAATTGCTGCTACTCTGCTGCAGCCAAGAAAGAGACCCGTTCGAGTGCCCAATCTTCGTGCTGCTGCTGCTGCCCTGCTGATGCGCTGCAGCTGCGTCAGCAGCTGGTTGGTGGTGCTGCAGCAGCAGCAGAAGGCAGGCTTCCGCTGTTGCGGCTGCTGCATGAGGTTGTTATTATTGTTATGCTTATATTTTGTGCATTAAAATAACAGCTGCAGGGCCTCAGCCCGTCGCCTGTACCCTGTGCTGCCCTGAGCTGTCGCGGCAGCGCTCTCTGCTGCGGCAGCACAAACAGCAACAGCAAACGCAGCAGGAGCTGCGGCTCCTCCTCTTTTAAGCTTGTTCCCGCCGGTTCCTTTGTCGTTCCTTGGCCCCTGCTGCGCCATCCACATCCTCTTGCTGCAGCAGAGCAGCAGCAGCAGCAGCAGGAACACCGGAGACCTCGGCAGGCGCACACCCTCCCGCATGGGGGCACCCCTTTCTTGCGGTTCCTATTGGCTTCTTAGGGCTGTGGTGTATGTACACCGCATCAGCTGCTGCAGCAGCTGCAGCAGTTACACAGGCCCATCGAACATGTTGGCTCGTTAGGGGAGGCACAGTAGCAACTGCAGCACGGCAGCAAGACGCCGTTCCAGCAGCAGTAACAGCAGCATTAGCAGCCTGTTGCTGCTGCAGCGAAGCAGCAGGCCCCCATACGGCTTCCACAGCTCCAACACAGTCCAGACGCAGCAGCCGCAGCAGCAACAGGAGCAGCAGCAGCAGCAGCAGCAGCAGCAGCAACAGCAGTAGTAGTAGACGGCGCCGACAGCAACGGTTCCGCCGCTATTCCTTTGCAGACGTTCTTGCTGCTGCTTTCCACTCTTCGGCAGCAGCAGCAGCAGCAGATGCTGCTGCTGCGCTGTCTGCGGTGGTTCCTGCTAATGCAGCACTCCCGTAGCCACCTCAGCCTGATTGGCGTGGGTGGGAGGCAACACAGCAGCAGCCAGCAGCAGCAGAAGCAGCATCCGTGACTATGGCGACCCCGCGAGGTCCTGCGCCCCCTGCACAGACCCCGCGGGGCCCGACAGCAGCAGCAGCAGCAGCTGCCGCTGCAGCAGCTGCTGCTGCTGTCGTACTGCCGCAGCCCTGCACCCCCAGCAGCCGCAAGGCCAGTCTTCGAGCTGTGTCCCACGCGCTTCAGCGAGCTGCGCCTTGCAGCAGCAGAAACAGCAGCAGCAGCAGCAGCAGTATCTCAACTGCTTGTGACAGCAGCAGCAGCGTCAATACAGGGTGCAACAGCAGCAGCAGAAGGGCATCTGCGGGTAGTGGCATCAGCAGCAACAGCACGCAGGCAGAGGCAGCAACAAAACACAAATCTGCCCCCTCGCCTTGGTCTTGCATGAAGCAACAGCAACAGGAACAGAAGCATCAGCAGCAACAGCAGCAGCATGGAGGCCGTAAATCAGTGGCTTGCAGCAGTTCGCCTGAATCAGCAGCTCCCGACTGGCCAACAGCAGCAGCAGCAGCAGCAACAACTTCTCCGTGCCATTCGAATGCTGCAGCAGCACCAGGTGCCTCAGCAGCACCGAAGGCAGCAGCAGATGCATCGCGGGGCTGTCCCGAGACGAACTGCAGCGATACACCACGCGCAGCAGCAGCGTCAGTGGATGCAAGAGCAGCAGCAGCAGCAGCGGGTGCTGCTGCTTCTGCTGCAGCTGCGGGATCTCTTAAGGTTCGTGCTGCAGTTGCTGCATGCAAGCGTCAGCAGCCGTCTGTGCTGCCGTCTCTATTGCGACGCGGCGCAGGCCCTACATTGTCGTTGAAGGCGGAGCGTCCAGCAGCAGCAACACCTGGTGCAGCAGCAGCAGCAACTGCTGCTGCAACGGGAGATGCTGGTGCGGGGGGAACAGCAGCAGCTCCTGCTGCAGGATGTGGTCGAGGTCTGTGGCTGAGCATGCAGCAGCAGCAGCAGCAAGCAGCTGCTTGCCTGCACGCTGCAGGGCTGATGCTGGGCGTGCAGCCATCCGCGCATGCAGCAGCAGCAGCTGCTGCTGCTGCTGCTGCTGTTGCTGCAGCTTCATGCGCTTCCAGAGACACAGGGATGCACTCAGCAGCAGAGCCAAGTCGAATGAACCCCTCGGGGACGCATTTGGGATCGGTACCGATGCAGCAGCAACAGCAGCAACAACAGCAGCAGATAACTGTACCTAGCAGCAGCACCAGCAGCACCGGCAGCAGCAGTGGGCTGCCGGCGGCTGGTGCGTCTGCTGCTGCTCAGGAGGCAACTTACCATATTTCTGCTTCTCTTTGCATCCGCTCTGCTGCAGCAGTTGCTGCAGAAGAAGCAGCAAAATCTGCTGCTCGTGTTGCTGCAGATCCCCATACTCTGCTCGCCTGCGCGACGCCTTGTGAGTCCACGTCAGACGCCGCAGCAGCAGCAGCAGCAGCAGCAGCAGCAACAGGCGGCGAGTCCGTGAAGGTGTGTCAGCTGCAAGGGGCTGCTGCGGATCCTCATGCTGCAGCGGTCGGCAGCTCAACAGCAGCAGCAGCAGCAGCAGCAG